AGCAAAAATTAGAGACGTTATTTAAGAAGGTTCAAAATCCTGTTTTTAATATTAATGAATGAAGTAGGAAGGGAAATAGGCGATGACATAAAGCCTGCAGAGTGTTATCAAATACCAGACCACATAAAATTCTGAAAAATGGGATAAATGAATACATAATGATATTCAAGAGCTGGTCATATTACAGAGAAAAATCATATGTGGACTTTGTTAATTTTTAAGGTCATGGTCTCCAGAAAGGATCTTTTGAATTACAGTTCATCGATGACCTCTATCAGATGTATAACTTGATCAAAAAAGAAGATGGGATGGGAAATATTTAAATGGAATTGAAAATTACACAAAACTATTATATATATATCAGTAATAGAAATTAATAAGAACACTGTGCTAAATTATGTGGATCCAGAAAGAGTTATGTTAATGAATAAGGACACGTAAAACTCTCACACAAAACTGATGGAAAAAGACTGCAGTTATCTTGTAGGAAGAGGAAAATAAAAGGAAGCCTGTTGATACAACGTAGATGGGAGGATCCAAGGCAGACCAAATTCCTCATGTTCATCATGGGTCAGATTCATACTGTTTAATCTTGGACACTTGGAGCACAGCTATCTGTGAGTGAAGCAGTCATCCTGGGCTTCATTTATGGCCAGTGGAGAGAAGCAGTCACTCCAGGTTCGTCTGACCCACTGACTTCACCTGTTCCAAAGGGAGACTCTGGAGATCATAGAATCAATCACAGCATCACCAGTGTTGGAACAGACCTACAAGATCATTCAGTCCAACTGTCCACCTATCACCAATAGTTCTCACTAAACCACGTCCCTCTACACAAAATCTAAACGCTTGTTTAACACCTCCAGGTTGGTGACTCCACCACCTCCCTGGGCAGCTCATTCCAGCACCTGACCCCTCTTTCAGAAAAGCAGTATTTCCTAACATCCAACCTGAATCTCCCCTGGCACAACTTGAAGCCATTCCATCCACTCCTATCACCAGTTACATGAGAGAAGAAGCTGGCTCCCAGCTCACTACAGACTCCCTTCAGGTAGCTATAGAGATATAGATCTGCTGAGCTTTGGTCATAGGCATCCCACACGGTGTTTCTGTACACACAAATCAGGCTCTGAATTAGAGGTGTGATCCTAAAATTTGGCTGGAGAGGAAGATTCTTTTTTAATGGAGCATCTCACCATGGAATTTGTTTTATACAACATTCAGCTGTGCTCACTGGCACACGGTGCCAATTTGGATCATTCCTCATTAGTTTAGATGAAATGATGGGCACAACAGGTCTATTTAGTGTTACCACACTTCATTCCAGAAAAAAAGCCCACAACCTTTAGAGAAGGCATAAAAGGATTAATTCACAAAGCTCAGCTAAAATCTAGATCTTCCCAGCCTTCCTCCAAAGGCAGAAATCTTTCCTTTAGGGAGCTAACTAGAAGGACAAGCGTGAATGATTTTGGAGAGAAGATAAACTCTGGTCTTTTTTTGTTTCTTGAGTTTCTCTATGATACATAAAAGCTGGTTCTGGTTTTTCTTTAAGGAAGAATACCTTATGATGTAAACCTGTGCTCTTTGTACAATAGTGCTAGAAGAAAAGAGATTTTCTAAAAACATGTATCTGAAGTATTACTTGTTTGGTTTGCCTTGTGTCATAATTTATTATGGAGATAAAAAAATGAATGAAGCAGTAGGGTCCAGGAAGGAACAGCTATCTCCCAACACAAAGAAGAGGTTTGTCATTGTCCAGTGACTCAGCATTCACATGACTCTGGAAAGTACAAATTGCTTAACAGTGTTAGAGCAACCTCATGTTGCCTTGCATCATCTTAAAATCTCTAATGCTTCCTCAGTGGCTTGGTCTCAGACTGTGTACTGTGTCCATGAATACTTTGTAATACTCGTCTGCTCTCCATCTCTGGCTTGCCATCTAAAATAGTGCTTTCTTTACCAAATAAACAAATATTTTGGTCATTTTCAATTTTTTTTTTTTTTTTTAAATTTGATTGCCATGTTAGTACTGCAAGTTTTCAACTTTGGGCTCAACTGAAGAATAATAACACAAGTGGCACATGGTGCCTCTATTAATTTCACTGTTGAAGGAATCTCTGGCAGATCTAGTTTTTGCACTGAGTGAGGAACAGCAGCTCCCATACACTGCATCACTCTTAAGTATTTTCTGCATTTCTTTGCACCTCTGCAAAGTCTTGTTGCAGGAATGAGTAAGCATTTCAGGTTTTAGTCTAAGGACTCTGCACTTGTAATATTATCTTTTGGTAAGGAATCAATTTTCCACCTGAAATCATGATCCTCTGCCTTCATCGCATTATAATCCTCTCCAGAGTAACCACTCACGCCAATGCAGACAGATTATGACTTCAAGTGAAGAATAAGCTTCAGCAGCAGTAGCAGATGAGCTCTTAAAGAGATAAAGATTTCATTTTCTTGCTAGCAAAAGAGAAAAAAAAATATGCCAAATACAAAGGAGATGTGCTGTGCATAAACAGACCTTTCTGGAAATCACGAGTGACTTTTTAGTATTGAAGCATAATACTCAATTAGTGTATCTTGAAGTATTTTGAGGGGAAGTCATTCAGTGGGAGACCCACATACTTAAAACCGTATTTGGCATGCATCTGTAAGCACTTTTAGAGCTGCTTAGCTTCTACCAAAATCTTCTGTTACATAAACATACTTTCCCAAAGAGTTTTATCTTGCTAGCAGGATGGGAGTGTGGTAAGGGAGCAACTCAAGTGTGGTGTATATAGCCTGACCCTCCCCTGACACAGCCCCAGTGGCCATTATCTGTGAATGAATCATAATCTGTTTTACATTTAGAAAATCAAAACAGTTTTGCAGAGTATTTTGGTCTCTTAAAGAGTATTTTTTTTTATTGTGGAATAATCCCCAGTGCACACTACTATTTTTTGCAAATAAATAAATAAATAAATAAATAAATAAATAAACTGTACAAGTAAGCTCTGTGATGGTGGGCTCCTTGTGTTGTATTTTTGTCCTGTTATCCTGACTGGCCTTAGTATCATGATGGATGATACACTGCAAATATGTTAACTGCAGTGTGCAGAGAAAATGGGGCAAAAGCTTCTCCCATTGCAATAGCATGATGGAACGTCTCATAGATTTATGTATTGGAATGTTTAGAGGCCTTCCTAAATCGATGTAGGTCTATTGGCTGCAGTAGCTTCCCTGCTGCGTGTCTTGGTTGATGTGCAGAAATACGCTTGTATATTAAAGATACAGGGAATCAAAGTCAGCTCCTGCATGTAGCCTGAACAACTCTTTTGCTTCAGTAGTGTAGGACAGATCATAAATAAGGATTCAGGAAATTTGGGCTGCATCTTTGTCATATATACTTCACAGTCCTGATGCAGCACATGTACAAACTCAACCTCCTCCATGGTCTAAGTAGGGCTGGGGTCCATTCCTGTCCAGCAATTGAAGGTTGCTACAAGAAGTTAGGTTTACCCAAGTGCTGATTTTGGCAATTCAGCCTTTTCACATCATGTTGCACGCAAGATATGTCTGTTGTAATTACCAGCATGTGTATGTAAATATTTTGTGTGTTATGTTTGTGTGTTTTGGCATCAGGAGCATTTCCTTAAAGAGCTAAAATAACTGTCCATGCATAGTGCCCAGAATAGACTGCAGGTCTCTTCCCTTGCAGTGGCATGCACATTAGAGGAATCAATCCAATTTGCACAAAAAGCCACCCAGTTGACTTTTGATTACCTCTGTCCACAAACATAACATTTTAGCATAACTTTTCTGTACTGGATTTGTAATTTAAAAGCAAAAAGTAGAGGGCAAGAAAGAACAGCAAGTTTGTAAGGAGATTTATTGTTCCCACTAGTTTTCAACTGACAGGAGCTCAGGACACTGAGGCTCACAGCATGGATTGCTGCAGTTTTAACTAAAATCCTAATTTGTAGAAGCTCTACTCTCTATACGAACAGGTTATTTCTGAGTGCTGGATTTGTTGAATAAGGGCATTGATAGAAACATTTCACTGAAAGGAAAAATAAGGTAGAAAATCAGAAATTTGTTGTATCTATTCCTTGTTTTGAAAGGGAATGAAGTCCATAAACTCCAGACTGTCACTAAGGACATAGATCTGGCCCATTTGTTCTTGGTCCCTTGGTGGGACCAAGGAAATGAAACTGATTTTCTGCCTGGTCAGGTGGCAGGCTCCTGCACATTCATGATGATTGGTGTTGAGGGAACCCAGGAAAATATTAGAGTGCTCTGTATAAACTTCTGTGAGTAGCAATATAGGGCTAGTATTATATCTGTTACCATCAAATAAATGAAATTGTTGTAAGGCTGTAAGACAGTCTGATTGATGTTCAGAAATTTTCACAGCAAACCTCTGTGAAGCATTTGTGAATCTTTTCCTAAACTTACTATTTTGGCCAAATATGCATGTATTTCCCAGATAATAAGCAAAAGACAGCTATCTTTCATAACTCTTCTGTTCCAAATGGTAAGGTCCTAGATCTAGCAGCATCAGAACTCTTAACAAGAACAGTTACACAAGGTCATTGTGTTGCTAGCTACCAATTTTTTCTTCACTTCCATTCAGGAAAAAAAAAAAAGTGTATTTTCTGCTCACACTCCCTAAAGCAATTTCTCACAAGGCCATGAGAAAACTTGGAACATTTAATTATAAATTTTAAATTATAGTTATTTACTTAGAATTAATGTGGGCTCATAAAGAAAAGCAACAGGAGTTATCACTGCTAGCTGAATCAATAACATACGTAATATGAAATATATGAAACAAATGTGACATTCACAGCACATGGCAACATCCTTTTATTGTTATATGCAGTGTATATGGATGTTATATTAATTTAAAATGAGCATGCTTGTACCTCAGTGTTGTCCTTGTTAAGATCTCGTGTGATTTCTCTGTTGTTATGTGGCTCTACTGTAGGAGATGTTAAACACGATGGTTGTTTTTTCTGTGGCAGGGCTTTAGATCAAGTCCTCGTCATGCCAGAAGACGTGTAGCACCTCGCCTTGAGGAAACACAGCCTTTAGTAGAAGCTCACCATCTAAGCGAGCAGGAAACCTCTGTAAGAAGAAGGAAAATCAAGAAAAGCAGCCGAGTGCAACCAGAATTTTATCATTCTGTTCAAGTTACACCAACTCGAAAACCAGTAAGTGTTCTACCCATAGAGATAAGTGGCACTGAAAGTACACTAAGGGGCATGTAATATGATTCTGAATTTTGGGCCACCTGTATTCTGTCCCTCAATTTTAAAGATCTTTTCAGTTCTCACATTCAGTGACTCCACATGCAACAGTGTAAGAGTTCACCTAATGCTGATTCATAATTTCAAAAAATACAATTCTGAAGAGGGTTTTTTTGAATTTTGATTTAATATTCAGCAAATAGTTAATCATCACATATTTTATTTGATAGTTTTATACTGATATTATTTAACAGATTTTTATAGCATATAATTGAAACTGAGATCAGATATTATTGAAATTCCTCACTAAATTTATCAGAGAATCTATGTACTGAACCAAATTTATATTAAACCTCATTACTGCATACAATTTTTGAGGTCTCTTCTGCTTTATACAGTATTTATAATACTTCTGCTCAATTTTGCATAGAATCTTATTGCTCTTTGCTCTTCAGCTTGATCTATACGTAGTTCTTTTAACTTTGATATCCTACTTTTAGGGAGGAAATATGACAATTCCAAATGTGAATGTGTGTAAAAATAATTATATGTCCTGCAGACATCATGCATTTCTCTTTTTAATAAGAATTCACCTTTTTGATGCGTTTGTTGACTAACCTATCTGCACCTGTGTTAAGAGGCTTGAACTACTTCCAGTAAGACAGCATTATTAAAAAGGTAACCATTCAGCATACCCAATTAAAGATTGTCTCAAGGTTCCTCCATCCAAACTGAACATTCTAGGATTCCTGTTAATGCATTACCAAGAATTACCAGGAAGCTCTGTAGTTAATTTGAAAAAGAGCATTCTTTGGTGGAAGTGTACAGCCTGAGAGCAAGAAACTTCTGCACAGAAAGGAAGGCCGAATTTGCCAGCACCAGCCACAAGTTTTACCTATTACCCAGCATACTTAGTTTCTCTGCTTTCAGTTCACTGCTTCCCAGTTTCCTCTGTTCTCTCCTGTTTCTACTTCTCTGTTGTTTTACTCTGCTGCTGTTCCTATTGCTTAGTTTGATCTGATTGATGTATCTTATCTTTTTAAAACTTTTTCCTCCCTACCCTGTTCCTTTCGCTCCCATCTTACCTTGCTCTTCAGGCTACTTCATCTGACTCCATTATTCTTGTAAGGTCGCTATCTTTAAACCTGGTCTTGTCTGTTTTTTACTTGCTTCTTATCCTTTGCCCACTTTATTCTCCCTCTTTCTCCTCTTTGACCTCCTGTATTATTTTCCATTCCAGAATCTATTTTTTTTTAATTCCCTTTCTTATTTGTTTGTTCTTAATATTCACAGAATCATAAAGGTTGGAAAAAACCACTAAGATCATCTTGTCTGCCCATCAACCTATCACTATGCCCACTAAACCACATCCCTCAGTGCTACATCTACACTTTCCTTGAACACCTTCAGGGATGGAGTATGGTTCAGTCACAGCCTGAACCACTGATTGAGCACCTGGGGAAAAGACCCCACAGCCCTGGAAGGGCAGGTGAAGGTAATTCACCTGTGCAATCGAAGGGGTGGAGCCAGGCTCAGACCCCATTTAAGGGCTGAATACCACTGAGGTCGCTACTCTTCCTGGTGATCTCTCTTTTGTGGAGTCTTTTTATGAGCCTAGATCTTTGGAGATGGGTGAGCATCCTCCTTTTCTTGTTAACACTTTCTCATTGTGCTGGTACTGCTGCTGTTACAGATGGTGACTCTACCACCTCTTTGGGCAGAATGTTCCAGTATTTCACTACTCTTTCCAAGAACGTTTTTCCTAATGTCCAACCTGAACCTCCCCTGGTGCAATTTGAGGCTATTATCTCTAGTCCTATTGCTACTCACCTAGGAAAGAAGGCCGACCCCCTATCTTTCCATAGCCTCCAATTCAAGCAAAAATAGAGCATGATAGTTTCCCCTCAGCCTCCTCTTCCCCAGACTAAGCCTCAGTTCCCTTAGCTGTTCCCCGTAAGACTTGTACTCCATATCCTTCACAGCTTCATTGCCCTTCTTTGGCAGGGCCTTAATATCTTCCTTGTAGTAAGGGGTCCAAAACCAAACACATTACTCAATATGTAGTCTCATTTTCTTCTCTGGTAGACCTATGATGAAAGTAGGTTCATCTGTAGTTGCTGAGGATATTACCAACTGTTATCATCATGGAGATTAAGAAAGGTGGTACTGAATTAAAGAACTAAAACTGTGGAAATTCTGTGAGCAACAAAATAGGCTTTGAAGAATGCTTTAGTGAAGCTAATAGAGTTCTATTTTTCCCTTAAGTTAGGAGCATGTCAGAGACTTTAGGATCAGCGAAAATAAATAATGCAAGAACAAGAAACCGGCACAGTTACTGTGCAACTTCAGTTTCACTGCATTTCACAGATCTGCTCGTGTTTGACAAGTCTTACCATTGAAACAGTAATAAATCCTAGGCTTAGTGTGAACTTCTCTCAAAGCTGTCACCATTGTGTCGGTATCTTGAAATTACTTTTGCTGTGTATCTCCTATGCAATTTTGTATAGTTCTTTTGATAGTCTTTTGTTCTAAAGCCTTGATGAACTCACATTATTAAAAAAAAAGTATCATTATTGTTATTACACTACAATCCAGAAAACATGAGTCACCAATTTCATTCCTTATGGACATTCTAAGTTATTCTCAATGTATTATTGATGTCATGGTGACAGCATGCGTAAGGTTCATGCCATGACAAATCATTGCAGTGTTGCAAAGTTCCTCAGAACCACAAAGTCATCCATCCTTCACTTTGGTGCAGCTTTGCTCTGCTCAGTCTTGACATCTCAAATATGATACTTTTGGCCCTTGGCTTCATACAGTTTTACATGACTTAGTGCCAGAAATGCTTGTTAGTCTGCATAATTCTCCATCATTTTTCATTATTTTTTCCTGTTATTCTTAGTTCTGCTCACTTGAGGCACTAAAAATAAATCATCTATTGCCTTGATGTTTTCACCGTGGAAGTATTCATAGGCAGTTCTGGCCATATCCTGCTTAGTCATTGCTTGAAAAAATGATGTCTGCTAACTAGAAGATATAATTTCTGCTCATAAAAGATTTCTCTATATGATTATTTTCATTGCTTTTTGATTAATTCTGTGTTTTGTTGTTGTTCCTGTATTCTGATAAGAGGTATTTCCAAAGCAATTATGAAACAGCCTTGTGGAAAACTTCCTTGCTCCAGAAAATTTTTGTTTAACCAGCCCTAACGTATGTTAGCCTGTGTTGCCACTCAATTAAGATACAATAACACTTATAATAACATAATAAACACTTTTCACGTATTTCTTTAAAATTTTTATTTGAATTTTAAATGCTAAGCTTCCTGCTGCTTTGGCTCATCTTGTATTTAGTTGACATTATTGCATGTAAATATGTTTTTTTCATTTTCCTGGACATACCCAAAATTATCTCCATTTGCTTGGCTTATTTCTCACTCACTTCATAGTAAACTGAGATCTTTCGAGTATCATGTCAAAACTAAATTAGGTGTATGTTTGGGAATAACATTCCTGAATAGTTTTCTCTTTGAAAATCTCCATGAGCAGATGTTTGCAGAAATAGAACATCAGTTTCTTCTGATTTTAATACTTTCGTACACTTCGTCTTAATGCTGATCTTTACAAGAAATAGTTAATATCCTTTAACACTTGATTTTATTCATCCTCTTGCAGTGAAACATCAGCATAATATTGTGCAGTTTACCTCTTTTATGACAATGTTCAATATTGTGCCCTGTAGGTCTTCTCATTGGTAGTTGTGTTATTTGAGCTGTTCTGTACAGTCACAGTTCAAGGCCCTCTTCACACCAAGAGCATGGATACCTATTACCAAAGTGTGCTTTGAATTTTTGAACACAATGGAGAACCTCTGAGAAGCAGGACTGTGTTCTTTAAATTAGCATGACTTCACACAAGTCAAAGGAGCCCTATGTATCTCCTTTCAAGAATCAGATGGCTCATTCTGAATAGTAGTTCAATTTTCTGCAAAAGGGAATTTTTTGCAAAAAGGAGCCTTTTATGAGTTTGCTGCTGTCAAGAGAGATTTCTCCAGGGCGAGTTTTAAACTGTGCAAATGGAAGACTTTTATTGCAAGTGTTTTGCAAATATTATCTGTGTTTTTCATTGTGGTCTAATCTAAAGCAAGATTATATACCACTCTGTAAATTATTAAGTTTGTTTGTCTGTGATGGCCTGGAACCAGGTGATAACCTTGAGTTAGTGTAGATGTGCCTAGCTTCTGTGCTGTGGACTCAGTTAGGCATACAATTCTGACAGTTCTATCCTGTGCGTTTAAATGCATAGCTGAAAGGAGATGCTCTCAAAGCAGCACCTTTTGATATCTTCATTGTTAAACCATTTGAAGTGCTTCTGAATCACCTGACTCATTCGAGCACCCAGGTTATTTAAGATGATGCCTATCAAAATTTACACTTGCATTTGTCGTGGCAGCATCTCTTCAAGTGGCAGGTGAGACTACAGAGGCTGTAAGTAAGCCCTGTTCCTTCACTTTCAGGTGCATGTGTTAAAAGTCTACTGATGTAAGCAGCCTCATTTGGCTCCACTGAGACTCCCGAGACTGAGGTGAAGCTTACACTGTAAAGAGTCCGATGACGCAGACTGGAAAGCAAAGTTAATCAGTTTATAATGCATTTAAGACCATGAGCCACACCATCCAGTATTATTCAGCTATCCTGGTTTTTGCTTTTATGTATTTAAACCTTTATTTATGAGGGGGGAAAAAAAAGAAACTATTACAATTCCAGAAGAAAAATATATTATTTTAAAAATGTTTGATACCAGATCAGTAACAGAGGTCTAGGTATTAGTTGACACTTGTGTTACTTCACATGAAGTATTTCCTGTGAAAAAATTATTTTGAAGGCCTTTTTAAGTGTTTTTTTTTAAAGTCTCATTACATAATTTCCATTTTTTTTCTTAATCTGATGCTATTTACTGTTTTTCCAATATCAAGATGTACTTTACTTGATATTTTGAGTGACCCCATTGAGATGACATACAAAAATTACTCATCACATTGCACAAGATCTGGTTAATTCCAACTATTAGCTATTTAATCTACAGGTTACATTCATAGCTTTCTTTTGGAGACATCTCCATGGGTTGGGTTGCGTCTCTTGCGAATCACATTTAGAAGCAGATATGGCAAAGCACAACCAACTCTTCTTTCGTCTTCAGCATTTTTTTAACATTCTATTAATGCTCTCAGAACGTGTGACAAATCTTTGAGCACATGAAGCACACATTCACTCTCAGGATGAATACAGCCACAGTGAAGAAATGCAGGGAACGCATGAATGCAAAGAACATGTGAATGAACATAAAAAAAGGGAAACTGTGTGTACAGTTTTTGCTTCAGTATCTAAAGAATATTGATATTGATTTTAAGAAGAACTGGAGAGGGTTTATTAAGTGATTAACTTATAAAAATTTTAACAAGTTTGAAGCATCTTAGCATCTTGAAAAATATCTCTAGGTGCCTGTTGTAAGTGTGTAAGTTGCATTTGTTGCCTTCAAAATAAATGAGAGCCTTCAGTGGACATTAGGTTGACTTTAAAGGTCTCTCTCCCTTTCCAGACACACACATGCCTACCAAGGGACTGTTTGCACCTGTTTCTTGGACTTCTATGTTTCACTGTTTTTCTTAAAGCAGATAAATCCCCTCATAAACCCTTTTAAAGCAGTTTTGCACAAAGACTCTTTCCCACTTTTCTGTTAGTTTCTGTGACCTCCTCCCTTGTTGCTTGCTCCTGACTTCCTTTTAGCTTCACCCTGCAGCTCATCTGTTGCGTGCTAGAAGTTGCCCATTTCTTCTGTTCCTGTTGCCCAGCTCCTAGGTAGTTTAGGACTTTGAAGAGATTTCTTGAGGGTTTCTTACTTGTAGGTCATAGAGGTGATGTCTTTACAAATTTAAAAATATTTTTTTATTAAAATACAACAATAAAGTGCTAAGAACTTGATTTGAGATTTAAAATGATTATTGTTTTTCTAGTGATTTTCTGTACAGTAGCAGAAGGCAGGTTAAAACATCATTAATCAGCTATGATTCTGTTGCAGTGGTGTTGTTTGCACAGCTTAAAATGACCACTAATTGTCTCTCAGATGCCTAGTAATTATATTCTAAATGCAGATGTTTCCTCTTCCTCAGGAGTCAGTCTTCAGAGTTGTATTGTATAACATCCTACTGTAGCACATAAACAGTACATCTTTATATAGCAAGGGACTCCATTATCCATTAGTATTTATATAGAGCATTGCACCTGGGTATTACTTTAAAAGAACAGGCTGACAAAGGCAGGTATTCAAATGTTAGGAAATGCTGGAATTAATGTTACATGTGCAGCTTTACTTCAGTTGACTATGCATCTACATTGCCATATAGACTGTAAATGTATGCTGGCACACTCTTTATTTCAGGATGTACTCTGTACATCCATTGTAGGATGGAAGTGCTCTTGAGATGACTCTTATGTGTGGGAGTCTTACTGCAGAAGTTGTAGAGTGTGTAAATGAATAAAACAGGAGATTGCAAGAGAAGAAAGGATCTTTTATTTCTATAAAAAGCAGTGAGTGCTGCCTTGAAGAATGATGGGCACAAGGTCACTGTGAACTTGCCGATCAACTGGCTTAAAACACTTTATCCTCCATTTTCCAGTTGCCTGACTTACAGCATGTAGTTAAGTTTATTAAAGTTCTCAAACTGCCACTTAGCATGGAACTCCACGTGTCCATGCTCTGAGTATTACTAATGCATGATTCTAGTAACTCTTAAAAATGAGATCCCTGTCCCTAGCTTGACCTCAGGTACCAAAATTGATCTATTGGTTTCAGTTTGTCCCCTGTATAATTCAAAAGATCATCATTAATTGTGAAGCAGTCAGATACCACGCAGTTAGATTCACTGTAGTGAAGAGCGCCACAAAACAGTCTGCAAAATAATTTTTTCTTCACATCATTATTTCAGCAGCATAAAGAAAAGTTCTGGGGCTGCCCACTGAAAAGCATATGACAAAACTAAATACTGAGCAGCTATTCATGGAGAGAATATCACCCATCACTTGCACTAAACGGTCTAGAGATTGTGGACGCAATAGCGTATGGCCAGATTGTTATGACTGCATCATGATGTGGAAATAAAAAGGCTGAATTAAGGGGATTGAGTGATTTAGTAGCATCTGACTGCTTGATTTTGCAACCTTAAGAACAGTACTTTAGCAGGAACCTGGTGTTAAAAGATTTTACTGTTGAAAATAATTTACTTAAAAAGAAAGCCCTGTTGTGTGGCTCACGAGCAGGTTTTGTCACTTGAACTATGCCAGAGAAATTTCTGCTATTGAAACTCGGAGACTGACAGTATTTGTATTCCTCCATGAGAATCAACAATACAGGGGAAGAGTTAATTTTCTAGAGGAACTTTCAGATATTTGCTGTTGGTGGAGTTCCCTGCAGTTTCCTACAGGCTCTCCAGGGGAATGTGCTTTTTTGTGCACATTCTCCCTAAGCTTTACTACTTTTGGCCCATTCCTTCCAGCCTGCTCCTGGCCTTCCTCCATCCTGCTGCTGGCTCCTTTCTCCTGCCTGCTCAGCCATGCTTCCCACCACTTGCTCCTCTGCTGACCCCAGCCCTCCTGCTCTTGCTCTGTTAGTCCTTGTGTCATTCCTGTGTCTCAATCCCTGTGAATCCAGCCCCAGGCTCAGTTACATTGGTGCTCAGAGGTACTTGTCTAACCAGCTCTTCAATTTCTGTGTCTCCCTGAGGCCCCCTTTTTACCTTCCTTGGCTCCTGTTTGTCTCTCTTCTTGGAGACTGTCTCCTCAGTTCCTGTCTGCCTTGTTCATCACGTAACCCCATTCAGAGCCTTTTGCTGAGGCACTACCAGTTTCACAACAGCTCATCAGATCCTTGATTCTCCCCTGGTCCACTCTTTCCAGCACAGTCACTTGTCCCAGCTGTTGTCCTGTGGCTCTGTTTATCCTCTAGTCTTTATGCAGGCTGTTGAGCCCTTAAACGCTTTTTCTCTTCAGCTCCAGCCCCTAGATTGTATTTCCGGGCTCAGCCAGTCTCTGTGTTTGTCCCTCAGGCTGTCAGTCCAGCTGTATTTCTCCTGCCCTTTCCTTCAGCATCCTGGTTCCGGTGTTTGTCCTCTCTGCATTCAGATCATATGGCTTTTTCCTCTTCCTAGCTAAGCACGGCCGAGCAAATCACCAGGAGCATGTAAAAAAACAGTTCTCTCCTGCCCATCAGGTCTGCTGCCTGCCTGCCCTTGCTTTCCATGCTTCCTGCCCACATTGCAATCAGTCTGCAACTGTGGCAAGTGACTACTAGGCAGAGAGATCAGCTTTTCTACATATCTCCATGCTGGAAGTATCCTGTTCAGCTTCTCAGCGAGGATGATAGGTGTCCTCAGATGGGAGGTAAGAGCTGTGAGGATGGGGTTTGCGTGGTCAGTCTGTGGTGGTGGAGCAGTGGCCTGGCAGCTGTAGTTCTGACAGTCTTTGGTTTGTGTGTGCCAACCTACAAAGGTTTTAGCTATAAGTTCAAATGTGGCCTTGTTGGAAAAAAAATCCAGTGAAATCACACTGGTAAACACCTAAGGCCTAGGAATAAATTAAACTATTTAACTTTGCAGAGAAAGGCTACTAGATGACAGGGATGAGCAGATAAGAGATTAAGAGAAGTTGACCAGATCAGCAAAACCAAAAAGTGCTGAGAGGAAATATGATGCAGGCTTTGCATCAGGGAAGCAAAAGGAGTATTTAAGCAAATGAATTCTGTTATCTCAAAAACTAAAGACCAAGTGTAAATTTCAGGTGCCAGTAGAGGAAAATTACTTCTAATCAAGAGAACAGTAGGTTCTGCAGCAGCTCTGTAGTCAGAGCAGTGAGATCAAAACCACGCTTTCAAGAGATCTACTTTATACTCTGCGGTGCCAGGGATAGCACATGATATTTATATCTCAAAGACTTATCACTGGCAAATGTTGACAAACTTTTAACAAAGATGACAAAAGCCCTGTATACAGCTACAGATTTAAAATAGCTGTTTCAAAGCCTAGAATCCTCTCAATTTTATTTTTTTAATTCTTAGTGTTGACAGAGAGCTACTGGATATTGTCATCCATTTTGCTCTCAGGCTTCTGAGTCAGCCTTTGTCTCAACATTTTCAGGAAAACTCAAGCTTGTGCAGGTAATACTTTCAACCAAACATAAGGGAACCAAAAATGGATTTTATAACTGAAAACAATTTGGTAACTTAATTACTATCTAACTAACACTAGTATTACTAGTGTTATGTAATTGTAAGAACTTACATTTTTTAAATGGTTAAATGTCAATTGGTCAAGCTATGAAACTTTGTTTTAAAACACTGGATTGAAACAGCTGGAAAAGAGTAAATGAATGTTTAATTGTGAAAGGAGGGTAAAGTATCAGCCAAAAATGCTAACACTTGTTACTAACACTATGATATCAATACCACAATTTAAGATTTTCATTTCTTCTAAATTTCTTCTAAATCCTTGTTTTAATTTTTTTTTTTTTTTTTTTTCTGGAAAGTAATCTGTGCTTATCAGAGATTCTAAAGCCATTTTATACTTCAGCTTGCTTTTCTTTTACACTCTGATATAGAATTTCTGGTTGAGAAATTTGTTTTTTATTAAAACATATATAAAAACTACAATGAGAAGTTTAGAAGGCAGTAAAAAGTGTTTGAAGCTAGATGATTTCTGATTCCACATTCTTCCTCTGCTGCATGATTGCCTTCTGCTCTCAATAAGGAGATAAAACCATCTGTGCCCTCCTCAAACCTTAAATCTACCTGTTGCATTATTCTCTTTTGTGTCTGGCACATGAGGGGGATCTAAATAAATGCAAGATAACTGTAACTAAAATATTTTTTATTAATTAATTTTTAGTTAATAGAGGGTTTTTGCAACAGCTGTATAAAGCAGTCATCTGAGGTACATGCATTTCTTCTACAAAAAATAATTCATATGAGACTGGGAATTTTGAGGCTATGAAATTGTGACATTTTAGGTACTTCTCATATAAGTATCTATGAAACACCAATTTTTAAAAATCATGGAAATAACACTTGTTGATTGGTTTAGTATAGAGCTAAACTAAAATACTTACTCTGCATACTGTAGTTTCCCAGATGCTCAGAGCTGAAATTCTTATTTTCGCTTCTAAGAAATCTTCAGTAACTTTGTTTGCTTCCACAAATGTAGGTACATTCCTTCAGGGTTAAGTCTTGCAATTCATATTGGAAAACTGAAAAGAGAAATGGATGAGAAATAGAGGAATGGATTAAATATGGAACATATCAGGGCTGTCATGCTGATCTAATTTTATTCATTTGCAAGTTACGTTCAGAGAGAATCACAATTAGTACAGTTTTACTAAGCAGTGCATTGGGAGAACTGGTAGCTTTGGCACAATGTGGCTACTTTAGCCTGAATATATTTGGCCCTGCTTATGTCCAGGTCTTACACAAAATGAAGCACGCCTTGCTTTCCAACCTATTCCTTTGAAAAAGAAAGAAAAATAAAACCTACAAGCAGGTGTTCCTCACACACCAATATACTCTAAACTGCAGGGAAGTTTTCTGCCTTGTTTTTCTCTTATCCCATTGCCATTGGTAAAAAATGGCTGAGACCTGTGAAAACTGTCATCGGACAGTTAACAGGGAATTATAAATGTGGACCATCTCTCAACTTGTTGCTCCTGAAAGAGATCACCAGCAGCCGAAGTAAATGAAACAAAAGCTTTCTGTGGTGTAATATTCACTAATTTATTTTCTTTTAAGTTACAGAAGATGGGATCATGTCAGACCAGTAGGTGCCTGACATGAGAAGTGGTACACATGCTGCGTAGTTTCATGTCTCACCCAGGAATAAACAATGAATGCTTATTTCTCTCTTGCCATTAAAAAGACAGATGGACAATGTAAACTGTCCTTACAAAGTAATAAACAGTCTTCATGAGAACTGTTCACTAAGGTGTTTAATGTAGAAACAGACTCTTGATGCTTAGGAGCTTCATACTTAGAGTATTTACCTGCTGGCTTTCTGCTCTGTAACATTATACAAAAAGCCAGAAACTCTACTCTTACATTTACACATCCTGTTAATGAAGGCACTTTCAAGTATGAATGTGCTCTTAAATGACTGGCACAGAACCAGAGGAAGAAATACTCATTTAATAGAGCTGAGTCTCCATTGGTGGATTTTCTTTCCTTCCTTCCTTCCTTCTTCCTCCTTCTTTCTTCCTTTCTTTTACTCTTTTTTTTTTTTTTCTTTCCCCCTCCCCCCCAGCTTAGCAGAGTTGCTTTTGCATTGCCCTTATTTGCACTTTTATTTCTGTGTGTTTTGAATTTCGATGCTTTCTGACAACACGCAGACCCAGGGACTTGCACAGCCTGGTTACATACATTGGGTGTTTTGTACTCTGCATTGCATTATCATCTAATCAGGTTAAAGGGGTAAAGATTTACTAATGGGAACATTCAATTGCCCCTAGATTTTGTCTTAAATGTATTAAGTAGTTTTACTATAAAATTTTATCTACTTTGATATCATTCAATCTGGGATGAAAACAGCATGTTACATTCAACTGGTACTCTAAATGATACTCTACATTATTCTAAATTATAAGGGATTTTGTTGAAACACATTCAGTAAACCACGATTCAGTGTTTTATATCTGCTCATGTTTATTCATTATCCACAACGAACACCACAAAAGAAAAGAAAATGTATTCCATAAGCTCTGGAATACTTCGGTATGAATGAAACATGAAGAACTTGTGTCTAAACTGATGGTTTAATCTCAGTTAGAAGTATGAGGCAACGAGGCTTTTGGGAAGCTTTCCCAAAAGCTTCCAAAAAGCAAAGTTAAGGGACCCACTGCAATGGAATTTCTTCTCAAAGAGAAGATTCTTCTGTATTATGATTCAGTAGCACAGCACAAACCCCAGTGCCATCAAGATGGGGAACTTTACAAGGTGATGATCATTTGGTCTCAGTCTCCCAGCTGTTCCTGCTGCCTGGATTGCATGGCAGGCAGTTCAGAGCCTGCTGATGTTTGGCTGAATATGAGCCAGCAGTGTGCCCAGGTGGCCAAGAAGGCCAATGGCATTCTGGCTTGTATCAGGAATGGTGTGGTGAGCAGCACTAGGGAAGTCATCCTGGCCCTGTACTTGGCACTGGTGAGGCCTCACCTCAAGTACTGTGTTTGGTTTTGGGCACATGGGCACAGAAGGCACATGGAGGTGCTGGAGCAGGGACAAAGAAGGGCAACAAGGCTTGTGAAGGGCTTGGAGAATATGCCCTATGAGGAGAGACTGAAGGAACTGGGGCTGTTTGGTCTGGGAAAAAGGAGGCTGAGGGGAGACCTTATTGCTTTCTTCTAACACCTGAAAGGTGCTTTATAGCGAGAGCAGGGCTGATCTCTTCCTGGTGACAGGTGACAGGATGAGGGGAAATGGCCTCAAGTTGTGCCAGGGTAAGTTTAGGCTGGATATCAGGAAAAACTTCTTTACAGAAAGGGTTTTTAAGCACTGGAATAGGCTCCCTAAGGAGGTGGTTAAGTCACCATTCCTGGATGTGTTTAAAAACCATTTGGATGTGGTGCTCAGGGACATGATTTAGCGGAGAGTTGTTAGGGTGGTATGGTAAGGTTGTGGTTGGACTCAATGATCTTTAAGGTATTTCCAACCTGAGCAGTTCTATGATTCCATGACGTTCAAAGTGAATCTCTGCTTATCTTTCCCCTTGAGGAATGACAGTGCAAAACCCGGCAGTGTTCAGGCGGGATCAGATCCTGTTTGGGTGTGCCTGATGTGATGGAGGTGTGGTGCTGCGTGTCAGCTTACGCTTTTTTCCACCTATCATCTGTAGGGCCCTCCTTACCACAAACAGTCCTCTTTTCTCCCCTCGAGAGAGAATCATGACTTGGTCCTTCGCCAAACCCCGCTTACAAGAAGCGTGCTGTTGCTTCTTTGAAATCCCACCCCTCCTTACTGGAAACTAGCTAGCAGTTACAGCGCAGCAGCGAGCCTGACTCAGACAACTGCTGTGTCACTGACGGCAGGGCTCGGCGCGGTACCGACAGCAATGCGCGCTGCTCTCTGGGCCGCCGCAGCCGCCGGGAGCGATGCTGGCTGCGGGCGCTTTGCACCCCCCTGCGGCGCTGCCGGGGAAGCCGTGCGTCAGCACTAACGCTTTAATGCAGGCAGAACTGAACCCAGGTTTGCTTATGTGCCACCAATAGGCTTCGGTGCACGAGCTGCTCTAGGCATACATACTATGCAAATCCAGCAGCTCTCCCCGGCTGTGTCCGACCACAGAGGCGATGGATGAGTCCTCAGCCTAGGGAGCAGGAGGAATGCACGATGGGAGTGAGGCACGGAGTAAGCGGCAGCATCAGGGCTGGGATCTTCCTGCTCTGAGGATCAGCCCTGACCCTCGCTGTGTCTCAGGGCAGGCAGGGAAGGAGGGGCCTGATCCAGGTTTGAGTGGACTATGTACAGTATGTATAATTTCCACTTGCTTACAGCAGTGTAACAATAGAGGTGCTTTCCATATTTTTTATTTTAAACCAAAGTAGGTCTAGATCACGAGCTTTGTTAGTGCGTGCATGAAGGAAGACAACTTAAAAGAGCATGGCTAATGGGAATATGCACAGATGCCAAAGGCTGTTCTACTTCTGCCCGTTCCATGTAATTTCTCAAAAGTGTGGGAGCTGGACCTCATCACAGAACTCACCTCCCAGTGCTGTGGTCAGAGGGACGGCATCCTTGTTCTTAGAATGGATCTCTCTACAGAGCGCATGGCCTGTTCAGTGTTGTGCAGGGAATCATCACCAGACAATGCTTTTGGTTTCTAAGTGTAAGAGCAGCTATGAAACGAGTTATTTAATCAGTGAGAAAGGCTACCAAGGGCTCCTTTGAGGAATGGGAAACTTTCTGGATAAAAATTATATTGCACTTTGAGAGGTAAACGTAGGGTTCAGATCTCTTTCGTCAAAGCTTCAGTAACAACTGCCATTCTACTTTGTATATTCCCGTTGCTATATAAATATCAACAAAGTATTGCTTCCAGTCTTCCTGTTACAAACTAGGAAGGAAGAAGGTGAAGATGCTGAAAGGCAAAATTCGTGTCCTCATGGAGCACTGAGCACCAATGGAAGGCACAGGTCCAAAGCAGGATGCTGGGATTGCAGAGAACACTGTTGTTGCACAATGTGGAGCTGTGGACAGGCCACAGGAACCCTATTCTCCCGTGCTGCCTCATGCTGTTTATTCTTTGCTATATAGCGATCAAGAATTCAGTCAGTTACTTGTAAGCATCCATTTCTTTCTTCCCTGCCCTCTGGACTTGGCTATCCAGTGCTGGAGGGAGAAAAGAGGCTTGGCAGTGCAGTGAACAAGGTCAGCAAAGTGTCCAGGAATAAGAGATGGCCTTATTTACATGGGGGATTCCTTCTTTAAATAAGGGAGCTAAGCAGATCGTTTATATTATTGGCAGTTCTGTGAGTAGCACATTGTGCATCACACTGTTTCTCTGAACTATGTGTTTTTTAAAGGGTAAATACCCCTGATGTAATAATAGTGGCTCATTTGCCCATCCCATGAGTGCCGATAAGAGAACTGTTCAGACAACAGCAAGGAATTTTATCAGAACTCATTCACAGCATAAATTTCTTCTGTAAGCAGAGCCATATGGATTTCAAGGCACATCCTAGATAAGAGCGCTCCTGAGCAGGCCTAAAACATAGGCACTTCTGTTATCCAACAGCCTGAAGCCTGCATGGCCTGGATGAGGGCTGCCAAGTGCCCAAAAGTGTGTGCCTCTCTCAGGTGAGGTTGGCATAGCCCTAAAAACCAGATACAGAACCCAGGCCCACATCTGGCTGCGTTTTCAAAAGGAGAACATGGTAGTGCCCATCTCTAATCCCAAATCGAAGGTGTCGCTGTCGCCTATCCCCTGCAGGCATCACATCTCGGCAGAGAGAAGGCACAGAGGAGAGGCCCCAGCAGCCCTCCCTCCTGCCCTGGTGACCTGTGAGGGTGCGCTGCATCCTCATCCTCAGCTCTGCCGTGCAAACCTCATCATTCCGATATCTCCGCTTCCTTCCACACCCTTCGGAAAGGACAGCGAGGACGGCAGCAACATCTCCCCGCACTGCAACCGCGCTTATTTACATCTCCAAAAGTACTCCCGGGGAAAATTGCCGCCTTCAGCGCGGTGCGGGCGGTGCTCATCGTGGCCGACCCGAAGGACCCCCCGGCCGGGGTCGGGGCCGTGCGGTGCGGGCGGCCCTGCGGGGGCGGGCGGGCGTTTTCCTGCCGCGTTCTCGGACCGGCGCCGGCAGCTCTGCCCCTCGCCCGGGCGGGGGAGCCAAACGCCGGCGGTTGGCAGCGGGAGGGTTTGTTGTCACCGCCGGCTTCATTGTGGGAGCAGCGGGCGGAGGGCTCGGAGCCGCGGGCATCCATCCCTCCGAGCAAGACCCCATAAGGCCGCCTCCGGGTTCGGAGGATCGCCCGACGGTGCCTTCGCGGCGATGGTGAGCGGCGTTCCTCTTCCCCGGCCCCGGTTTTTGCGTCCCCCCACCCCACGCCTCAGGGACGCTTTCCCACGCCACGCGTCCGGCTCGGGGACCCCCGCGCGTCCTCCCGCGCACCCACGGCCCCGTGTGTCTGTGTCTCCCCGTGCAGAGCTCCGGCACCGCGTCCTACCGCTGCTCCATGTCGTCCTCCGCCGATCTCTCCGAGGAGGAAGACCTCAGCCAGAAGTCGGGCACGGGGTCGCCGGCACCGGGGGACACGCTGCCCTGGAACCTGCCCAAGCACGAACGCTCCAAGAGGAAGATCCACGGTGGCTCCGTGCTGGACCCGGCCGAGCGGGCCGTGCTGCGCATCGCCGGTAAGGGGCGGATGGGGCCAACGCGCGATGCCCTCCCGAGCGCGGTGACTAAGCGCTGCGGCCGGGCTGGGCGGGAGGGCCGGGCTGCGGGCAGGTGCGCGCGTTTAACTTTGATGCGAAGCCGCAGGGGCCGTGGGAGGGTCGCGGTGTTATCGCGGCTCCCGGTGGACGGGGCGGCCACAGCCCCCGGGCAGTGAGAAGGCGGGCGGGGGTTCGGGAGCAGCGTGTACGTGAACGGGCGTCGGGAGGATGCGGCGGGGCTCGGCGCTCCCGGGGGACGCCGGCGCTTCCTTCTTTCCCTGCTTACGGGGCCCCCCCGCGGGCCGGATCTTCGCCGGCGGCAGAGGAAGGTGGGGGAGGACTGAGAAGCGCCGGCGGCGGCGCTCGCGGCGCGCCCCGAAGCGGAGGGCCGGAGCCGGGCGGGAGGTGGCCGGGCTGGGGCCGCCCCCTGCGTGCTGCGAGGGGCGGCTGCTGAAACCCGAGCATGGGCGTTTCCTCGGCCAGGCCGGCAGCGTCCTCCTCTGCCGCCTCCACCCACCCTCCTCCAGCAGGCAGTCTTTTTTTTTTTTCGCCCCTTTAATTTTATTTTTTTTTCGCTTCTTGGCCGTTCCCAAGGCTGCTTGCCTTCGGGAGACGAGCGGGGCGGTGGGCAGCGCTAGCGGCCCCCGGCCATGGCTGGCTACCTCTCTCCTGGCGCGTACTTCTATGCCGAGGAGCAGGAGTACCTGCAAGCCTACGAGGATGTGTTGGAGAGATACAAAGGTAGGGCGGCCGGCAGGTGCAGGGCGGCGGTGCGGGCTGCTCCCCCGGGAGGGAGGGAGCGGGCGGAGGGGCCGCGGGGCGCCCGCACCGAGCTCTGCTGCTGTGGGGAGAAAGGCGATGATGACTGGTGCTGATGGGTTTTCTTTTTTATTCGCCGTTCTCCACTTTCCCCTATGAAATGCGGGCAGCGTCTCAGTGTCCGTTTAGCTGCCCTGAAAGCTTGTGCTGATTTTTCCACCGTTTTTTAATCTTGTTTTTGTAGCCAGGCAAAGGAGGATCTTAGCGCACGTAGCACCTGAGTTTTGTCATTGAAAGCAGGGAAAATACAGGGGAAAAGAGGCACTTAGCACGACAAAGATGTATGCAACTAAATTTAGCTTATTAGGCATGTAAATTACATGGCTTTTTGAAACTAAGTGGGATAGAAGAGATCGTTTGGGAGATGTGATTCGAGAGTGCTATTCAGAGCATTGGCCACTACAAAATGTGAAAATGTTTCTTGAAAGTGTTACAGATCTGATTTTAATTTAAGTGAAAGCGCTTGGAGCAAACAGCTCGGATCAGATGCTTGTCCCAGAAATAGTTGTTATGGTGTCGCATCACACGCTGGCATTTGCTGTGCTGAGTCCTTCAGTGATATTTGGGAAAAAGATTGGTTCCATTTTATATCTCAAGTACTTATTGTGACAGGTTGTGTCTTTTCAGCCCTATGCCTGCATTCAGTTGTAAAGGTTTTGGTTAAATGGTTCCCACTGATGGGAAAGGGAGTGGCATGATGTAAGACAGCTTGATTTGATGATGCTGATAGCAGAATTTCTTTAATCCTGGTTGGTTGTGGCAAAGTCTTGAAAAATAAGAAACGGTCTGGATGGCTGCTGTGAAATGGGAACCTGCTAGCCTGAGCATACTTGGTACCTGTGCCACTTGCATTTCATGTGTCATTAACAGCACTGGCTAATGACTCCTTTGTGTCTGTTGCCCATTGTGTCAATGCAGCTATGGAGCATGTGCACCACTTTGATACTGAAATGCTTTAGTGCATTTTAGATGAGCAACAATTATGGCTTGGAATAGATCATCTTCAAAAGGATGCCTTTACTCTATGCTCAGTTTCTTTTTATGTCATCCAATTACTTTGTATGCAGCTAAATTAATTTTTGCAAAAATTATAAGTGGGTGGACTGTTCACTCTGTAAACAAAGAAACGAACAAACAAAAAACCGAACACAAATGAAATTACACTGAGGGAACCTATTTTCCTGTCCTGGTTCTAATTTAAAACGCTTCTATTCTGCTTCACGTTACCCTATATTTGCAGTTCAGCTCAGGTCTGCTTGCTTACAGGTCTGGAAGGGACTGCAGGCCTAATTTCCCTTATTCCAGAGAGCTTAACTGCACGAGGGCTGAGATATTTGGTTTTTCAGTGTTGGTGGGCAAGTGGATTTTCATTAAAATAAACTCCTAAAACTAATTCACATTTTTAATAAAAAATAAACTCTGGAAGTGTTAGAGCTGATGGCATTGTGGGGGCTGCATGGTGCCCACTGACGTGCTGCTCACAGTGATAGCTGAATCCTGAAATTGCTCAGAAGGATCCGATTTCTGCTGCCTTAATGTTTAGTGTCACATTGAGCGTACCGGCATGCCGTGCTTTGCTGTTTGAGGTGTGTTTTATTCAGCCATTGGGAGCAAAGGTGAAGATTCGGACTTGTTTTAATTATGATATATTGGAAACCTGGAGAAAGCATTATTTTTCAAAATGTGTTTCCAAGCAGCTCGTGATTTCCCATCGGAGTCCCAGTGGTATGACTTCACTGCAGTGATTGTTGTGCTGATGACTTGCTATGGGAGCTGATCTAATCAGAAAAGAATTGCTACAATATATGCTTTGAAGAGGGAGTGCCATTTCTCCAAATTTCTCAGTTCTGTAAACACTGCCTTTATTGTTTTTCTGAACCAAATGCAAAACATGTTGCCTTCATGGTTTTAAGGTGAGCTTCAATCAGCAGTGTTAATGCTAACGTTTCTTTTTTTTTAGGAGTTTATTTCCTCTTCACAAGAGCAGAATGCTCTTGTGTTCATTTCGGGCGTTATCAGGGTGCCAAACTATGTGTGCCCCAGCTGTTGAGTGCTGTAACTAGCAGAGTCAGCTGTACAGGATTCACCGCCTGCCTTGGAAGGCCGGGGGTCATGTGATGCCACACCATTAAGACATCCGGGCCTTTGGGTTTGGGGAAAAAAATCACTCCCCTGTTTCAAGGTAGAAAATTCAGATTTTGCTCCTCGTCTTTTTCACTGGTCAGAATAGGCCACCGGGCTGGAAGGCTGTGCAAAGTCAATGACTTTGTTGCTCCAGACTGCCTGCTGACCATGGCTGTGGCAGTAAATAATTAGGCAACTGTTGCTAAATCTGAGATAGCACAGAGGAGCTGTTTGCTATGTGAGAAAATATTGTTTTCTGACTCCTGGTCAATTCTGTTGCTGGCCATCATGTTTTTCTTCTTGATTTGCTTATTTCAGTGGCAGTATTTCTAAAGTATTCTAATGGATAGAAAAAAAAAAAAAAAAAAAAAAAAAAAAGCCATGTTATCTCAGAGGATTCAGAGATCATATCCAGTCAAGCTACTTAAGGGCACAAATTGCTGCTATAAATTTCTATAGGTGCTGCTGATGGAGGCAAAGCCTTTACTGCGATAGGGGCATTGAAGTGTCCAAATATTTTGCCAGAAATATTTGACACATTTCATATCTTATTTGCGATTGAACAGGAAGATGAGGAATAATACAAATATAGCTAGGAGTTCAGCTTTATCTAAAACTGCTTTTGATTCCTCTGGGAGGTTGTAAATGAACTGTAAAAATCAGTCTGTTACTTTGTTTGTCATATCACCATTGCCTGGGAACTAAAAATAATGAAATTATTGTTAGCTGCAATCTTACTGATAAATTGTTTCTCCTGACTTCGCAATAAGAAAATGTCCCATAGATTTGGATACATTTGAGTTTAAAAATATTAGATGCCATCTCTACCAGATGGTGGCTGTGTGTTGTTGCATTCCGACGTGATTTGAGCATTAAGTACCTGAAGATCAATGTCTTTACATACAGTGCATTCATTAGATTTACTCTGGCATAGGTCTTAAGTAAGACATACATCAAGACTTATGAGTCCCCCTCCTTTTCTTTTTTTCTGTTCCTGTAGCAAATATTTAAATTCCAGTTGCAACAGCCCTCTTTTCTGCAAAACTTTGAGCAATTATGTAACAAAGTTTCCTCCCTTTGACATCATTATTGAAACATTCACATTTGTCAAAATTATTTGACAACATTATTGAAATTGCCTAATGATGACAACAAGGTTGCGCTTTCTGGAAAAGAGCTGTTTCATGGAGTTAACTAAGACAGAGATTACAGTTATTCAACAATGTTCTTAATACCACATAGACTATAGAAGTTGAAAATATATGAGGTTTTCTGGTCCATGCCGACCTTTTAATGCTGTGAATTTGTGAATACAGTTGGCCTGCATTGTTGTCAATGAGAGGAAAGGTGTCACATAAATATTTTCTTCAGATTGGACACGTGGCCACTGCTTCTTTAGAATACTGGCAGCTTGCTGCAAGAGGGGCAGGTTTGTGCAGAGCAAACTCAGGTTGAGTTTCAGCTTTGTTCTACTTCAGTAATAGCATTTCTCTTTAGGCTGAAGAAATGTCATTCTCTGTTTCCAGCTGAAGCAGCTCTGTTTTCTGAGGATCAAGTCAGTGTTGGACAAGAGCTAGTGGGTCATCTGTTGTGTTTGGTTGCCTGAGTAGGGTTCAGGGCAATGCCACTTGTGTGTTGCAATGCTCCATTGCGGGTAGATTCAAGTAAAGCAGTCCTCACGTTGTTTGGGTGTGTTTTTTGAATTAATATCAGAAATGTGAATGCTCATCATCCATCTCCGTGAGTGTGACTTCAAAAAGGGATCATTTGCTCAGAGCAGGTGCTGAAAACGAAGACGCTTTGGTATTTTAGGAATTTGGAATTTTCTGCATTTGTTCAGTGTCAGACTTAGGCCCAGCTCTGAAATCAGCGATTTTCTGAAACTTCTTGTTTGTATTTTGAACTCAGGGGCCTTAATGACAACTTCCAGAAATCTTGTTCTGGACTCTGAGTCAGCGCTTCTGCTTCAGGGCTTTGGGTTTTGCATTCAGAAAGAAATACTCATGAGAAATTGGCTTAATGCTTTTAATTTTTCT